TAACAACACTTATAATAAATATAACAACACTTATAATAAATATAACACTTATAATAAATAAAAAAATAGTTATAATAAATAACACTTATAATAAATATAACGCATAATAATTATAACAATACTTATAATAAATATAACAGTTATAATAAATGTAAGTATTGTTATAATTATTATAAGTGTTATTTATTATATTATTTATTATAACTATTGTTATATTTATTATAACTATTGTTATATTTATTACAAGTGTTGTTATATTTATTACAAGTGTTGTTATATTTATTACAAGTGTTGTTATATTTATTACAAGTGTTGTTATATTTATTACAAGTGTTGTTATTTATTATAACTGTTGTTCTAGCAGAAAAACTTTGGACTGCAGCCAGCTGGAGTGTGCATGTGCCACTTCACTTGTGGGGGGGTTCCCTAGAAAATCTCCACTCAAGAGACCTGGATTCAGAGAATGAGGCTATTGTCTGTAAATGAACGGCCGAACGTTTAACGTCGTATAAACGGGGCCTCAGGTTGCCTGCCCCGTCTGTCAACCAAGAGACAAATTTCATGAATAGAGGATAGACTGGTCTATTTTTTAAATGCCATGTCATCTACCCTGAATACTTTTGCAATGGACCACGATTGACGCATTGCTTTATATTGCTGAGGAAGAATAGCTACCCACAGTGGACAGGTGAAAGTCTACAGATGTATCCTCCTTACCCAGCTCCTCCTTGGTGCAGTAGTCAAACTTGTAGAGCTTGAAGTCTTCTCCACCAGCAACAAAGAAGTCTTTGTCTGGATGGAGGGAGGCTGAGTTGATCGGAGCTGGGGCCTCCACGGTCTTGATCAGTTCCAAGCTTCAAGACAAACACATTCAGGTGAAAACACGTGAGCAACATCAAACTTTAATCCACATCCACACCACACGTCTTACTGCTGCCTCACCCTGACCACCTGTTTCTAAACAACATGACCTGTTCAGTTAAACTGCAGCAGCTGGCTAGACAAAGGATAGTCATGTCAAGCAGTTAGTCTGCCTAAAAAGATGGGGAAAGATCGTGTTTGTTGGCAACAAACAGGCAGATTGAACACAGAAACAGGAGTTTTCCTCTTCATCTCGTTTACCTGAGAGCGTTGTAGAAAGCAATGGTCTTTCCATAAGTTATCACCAGGATCTCTCCGTCAGCCACATACTCCATGCTACTGACCGTCATGTCAAAGGTCAGAGTCTTCACCTCCTCCATGGAGCTCCTGTCCCACAGCCTGAACGAACACACAGTTTCTACCATCTTCATCTGTTTGTTATAAGGGATGATCATTTTTATTTAAGGTTTAACACCAAGTAGCACCAACCGAATGGTTTTATCATCTGCAGCAGACAAGATCTGTTTATCGTTGTTACACCACAGAGCTTTCTTTATGGCTGCACTGTGACCGGTGATCTCCTGCGGAGCTGCAACAACACAAACATACACACATCTCAAGTTTCTTGAGGTAAAGAACAACACTGAACAGTATTTCATAGAAAAAGTCAGTCATCCAGGTCGATAAATCACAAAGTTAAATCATGCCATCTGGACAGTTTCTCTTTGGAAGAAACGTTAAGTCTTTCATCCGAAAGACTTAATCAGTCTGAGGTCTGCCACCAGGATCTGTTGCATTAAATAGCTCCTTATGGATGCGTTTCAAACCAGTCTGCTGTGGAGATCCCAGAAACTGGTTTTACACATGCAGAGTGGAGGACCATCAGTCTAATCAATCTATTATCAGTGTATAACAATCAAACATTATAGACAAAATGGCTGCTTATCACTAGTGCTTAATTTGTAAACCATCCATCCATCCATCCATTTTCTTCTGCTTATCCGGGGTCGGGTCGCGGGGGTAGCAGTTTAAGTAGGGAGGCCCAGACTTCCCTCTCCCCAGCCACGTGGTCCAGCTCCTCTGGGGAAATCCCGAGGCATTCCCAGGCCAGCCGAGAAACATAGTCCCTCCAGCGTGTCCTGGGTCTTCCTCTGGGTCTCCTCCCAGTGGGACGTGTCCGGAACACCTCACCTGGGAGGCGTCTAGGAGGCATCCTAACCAGATGCCCAAGCCACCTCAACTGGCTCCTCTCGATGTGGAGAAGCAGCGGCTCTACTCCGAGTCCCTCCCGGATGATCGAGCTTCTCACCCTATCTCTAAGGGAGAGCCCAGACACCCTGCAGAGAAAACTCATTTTGGCCGCTTGTATCCAAGATCTCGTTCCTTCAGTCCCAACCCAAAGCTCATGACCATAGATGAGGATGGGAACGTAGATCTATCGGTAAATTGAGAGCTTCGCCTTTTGACTCAGCTCTCTCTTCACGACAGACCTGTACAACGCCCGCTTCACTGCAGACGCTGCACTTATACGCCTATCGATCACACCCTCCATTTTTCTCTCATTCGTGAACAAGACCCCAAGACACTTGAACTCCTCCAGTTGGGGCAGGACCTCCTCCCTGACCCGGAGAGGGCACTCTACCCTTTTCCGGCTCAAGACCATGGCCTCGGATTTGGAGGAACTGATCCTCATCGCGGCCGTGTCGCACTCGGCTGTGAACAGCTCCAGTGAAAGCTGTAGATCACGATCTGATGAAGCCAATAGGAACACATTAGGAATGTGCGATATGGCATAAAATTCATATCACAATATGTATTGTGAAGGGAGGCAATAACAATATATATCGCAATATGTTTTGGGTATAAAACTTAATAGGAATTTTTTAAAAAGCATAGTGTGTCTTTTTGCCATTATATATTTTGAATTAAGAAAATTCCACTACTAGGTCCAGAGAGTTTTTAAATAATAAACAAATCAAGTATTAGGCTTCTTGCTTGTAGTGCAAAACAGTGCAAAATATATAAAATTTAGTTTTAGCCATATGTTTTAAACAAAAGAATATGTTGTTAATGCTTAACAGTTTCCAGTCTTAAGAAATGAGCAACAGAGCAGCATTTTACACTGAAACACTTCACCCTCCAACCCTCTAGTGGGCGCCTCCTGCTTTAATGGATAGCTGACACAAAATGACTCTGTGGTTTTACTGCGAGACACTCTGGTCAAAACCACAAACACAGCGTTCTTATCACAGATCAGAGAGCAGGTTTCTCTAAAGCTGACCAACGCTTACTTTAACTTATGATGGGGAAAAAAAAAAAAAACTTTTGACGGAACAGCGTTTTGCGCATGCGTCAGAATACGGAAACACTACGGCAAGCCAGGCGTAGTTAGCTTGTAGCTTCACTACTTAACTCTCGAAGAAAAGACTAACGGCACTTGCGCACAGTTTTCAACTAAAAAAAAAAACGATTAAACTGACAGCTCTGATTTTACATCAGACAGCATTACTGCGGTTAGCCGGTAGAAGACAGAGCTCTATCGAGGCTAAATTTCTATCGTTTCTACCGAGTACTGTTTATATCGCGCATTCCTAGAACACATCATCTGCAAAAAGCAGAGAAGAAATTTTAAGGCCACCAAAACAGATCCCCTCAACACCTTGGCTGCGTCTAGAAATTCTGTCCATAAAAGTTGTGAACAGAATCGGTGACAAAGGGCAACCTTGGCGGAGTCCAACTCTCACCGGGAACAAGCCCGACTTACTGCCAGCAATGCGGACCAGGCTCTGACACCAGTCATACAGGGACCTAAAAGCCCATATCAAAGGGCCCGGTACCCCATACTCCCAGAGTAACCCCCCCCACACACACACAGGGTTCCCCGAGGGACGCGGTCGAACGCCTTCTCAAAGTCCACAAAGCACATGTAGACCGGTTGGGCAAACTCCCATGCACCCTCCAGGACCCTGCTGAGAGTGTAGAGCTGGTCCAGTGTTCCACGACCAGGACGAAAACTGCACTGCTCCTCCTGAATCCAAGGTTCGACTATCCGACGGACCCTCCTCTCTAGAACCCCCGAATAGACCTTACCAGTGAGGCTTAAGTGCATGATCCCCCTGTAGTTGGAACACACTCTACGGTCCCCCTTTTTGAATAGGGGGACCACCACCCCGGTCTCCCAATCCAGGGGGTCTTTCCCCGATATCCACACAATATTGCAGAGTCGCGTAAGTCAACACAACCCTACAACATCCAGAGCCTTAAGGAACTCCGGCCGAATCTCATCCACCCCTGGGGCCCTGCCACCGAGGAGCTTTTTAACCACCTCAGTGACCTCAGCACCAGAGATTGGAGAGCCCAACCCAGTTTCCCCAGGCTCCGCTTCCTCAGTGGAAGGAAGACGTGCCGGTGGGATTGAGGAGGTCTTCAAAGTATTCTGCCCACCGACCCACAACATCCCGAGTTGAGGTCAGCAGCACACCACTCCCACTATAAACAGTGTTGGTGGCTTATTTTCTCAGTTGTTTAGTTGTACAATGACAAGATTTTTTTTTTCTTAATGAAAGTGAACTGGACTGTCTTTTCAACATTTTAATCGCTGTTATTTTGACAAATTGGCGCAGTTGTTTTGATACGTGACGTACGTAACGTGATTACCATCAAACATTTCTCTCGAATTTTTAATAAATAATCAAAATGTTATTAAAGACCCACTTAAACTGTCAAACTGATTTGTAGTTTAGTTGTCCTGTTTAATTATATTTTTGTGTTTTTATCAAATTGCCCATGACTGAACTTTTAGGGGCAGAGATTTTTTAAGTGTAGAAGACCTGAGAGTCTGCAACAAAGTTAAGACTCAAAGTAATCTGCTGGTTCCTCATATTCCGGCAGGATACAGCTCAAATTAAGCTCTGCTTACTCACAGAACCAGCCTGAGGACAAATTGGCCAAAATGATTAAAAAAAAAAAAAAAAAAAAAGGACTTTTTTTATATAGTTTTTTTAATCATTTTGGCCAATTTGTCCTCAGGCTGGTTCGCACTGATGATCGATTAGACTGATGGTTCCATTTTGCATGTGTAAAGCCAGTTTTTGGGAACTCCACAGCAGACTGGATTGAAACACATCAATATTTAAAACGACAGACTCTGCTGGCAGTCCCCAGATTGATCATGTTTTTCAGATGAAAGACAAAACGTTTCTGCCACAAAAGAAACTGTCCAGATGACATGATTTAACTTTTTCACAGGGTTCTTCTTTCTGTGAAAGAATCACCGATAACAAGAACATGGTCTGAGTTAATCATGTTCATCCTGAACATGTCCAGGTTTGACGTTGTCTCTTTACACGTTCTCACCTGTTTCAGGGTTACCGAGGTCATAAATACGCAGCATTTTGTCGTTTCCAGCCGTCAGCAGACAGCTGCTGTCCTGAACAAAAGAGACACATTACACTGTTTAATTATTTCAAACTGTTAACATTTTAACTCATCATTAGATTACATTAATCTGATTTAACCATTGAGAACAGTTTTCTGAATAAAAGACAAACCTGATTTTTCAGCTGTTAAGTTAGCTCAGGTTAAATAAATTAGTACTCTGAACAAAGTGTTACAAAAAGAGTAGACGTTAAAAAAATGAAAACTGTATACACACAGAAGAAAAACTAATTCAGCTCTGACAATTTTTGGGGGGTTTCTGTATGGACAAAAAAGAAAATTTGGTCTTTACCACGTTCTGAAATTATTCTAATCCAGCCACAAGTGAAAAAACACCACCCATCAGAATCCACTGTGTCCGCCTCTATTAAAGCAGGACACAGTTCTTGCTGCTCTGGAGCATACAAGTGTTCAACACAAAGTCAAGCTGGAAAAACATCAGCAATGACCTTGGAGTAGAAACTGCTTTTTGCTGCCCATCAATCTGGGAATGGTTAACGGTAATTTACAAACTACCATATTTTCCACCATACCTGTCACACTGCCCTATAAGTCGTATCAGTCCAAATATGTCTAATAAAATGCAAAAACCCATAAATATGTCACTTCGCCATATATGTAACATCTACTATGCGTCACCACTAACAACCCAGAAATGTGGGCCAGTGCTGTGCCAAAAAAAAAAAAAAAAAAGATTGGCTGCCAAATGGTGGCTGCGGGAGCATGCATGGGAGGACTTTAACAAGATTAACACTTTAAAACAATTATTTGTTTGCTCGAAATTATAACAAAGGTGTGTCTCAGATGAACTTTTACTTAGGAATGCACTTCAGAATGAAGCTGATTTGACGGTTGCTCCAGGCAGACGATGGTGGCATGTATGGCAAGCTGATTGTGTCATTAATAGGCACTTTTACCCATTACATGCTACAACGGCATGCCATACTAGTCGAGCGCCATCTAGCGGCTGAAAATTGTAGTGTTCAATATTTTCAGTCAGAATAAATAAAAACAGTCAGATCTCAGCCAAAAATTGGTTTATGAATATGGGAAAAAATCCATAAATACGTCACTTCAGTGTAAGTCGCAAGGCATGCAAATTACGGAAAAAACTGCAACTTACACAGCGAAAAATACAGTATTTTTAAGTCACCATTCTACAGAGAAAGATTATTTAAGGTGAAACATCTGAGATGGCTGCCGATCCTCCCAGGAGCAAAAATCCCAGCAAGTTTGGATAAAGTTGGATAAAAATATCCTCTGTTCATCTTGATTACTCAAAGAAACCACACTTGAGGACACAAGATGTTTTAACCAGTTTTGCTTGCAAGAGCTTTGTAGAGATCTAGTACAGTGCTGTACAAATGGGTAAATGAGGGCACAGACTGCAGTGTAAAGTGCTTTGAGTACCTTGATCAGATAGAAAGGCGCTATACAAGTACAGTCTTTCCTTTTTGCCTTTCAGGGACACCTGGACTAGGGCTGCAACAACGAATCGATAAAAATTGATGATTAAAAGCATTGGCAACGAATTTCGTTATCAATTCGTTGTGTCGCACGATTATGCGTCTTTCACGGCGCTGCGGAGCCGTTTCGTTTTGTTCACGGGCAGTTCATTGTCAATGCTGACTGACTGAATAAAGTTTGGAAAAAAACTGCAGCGCGAGTTGAACAGAGAGAGGGGCTGTTTTCAAAGGAAATTAAGTAAATTTTACAAATGACCGACGCAGAGAAAACTGTTCGACCCAAGACCTCCAAAGAGTGGGAGCTCTTCACAAAGATAAAAACTGTGCAACATGCAGCTTTGAAAGTCGCCGACACGACACGGGAGAACCACGCTGTTATAAACGTAAACATGACGGAGTCATGAGGAGGAGGAGGAGGAGGAGAAGGAGCTGCAGCAGATACAACTCGTGTTGCAGGTGAGTCTCTACAATTTAACACATTGTTCTGTTTCCAAGAGAGAAAACGTAACGTCAGTCTCTGGTAGATGAAGCTGCTGTTTGTTTGTTTGTTTGTTTGTTTGCTGATTAATGACGGTGATAGAAAACGTGTGTTACTTTTTATTTAATTTAATTGGCACAAGCAGTGTTTAAATGTGATTTATAAATAAATCTAACACAAAGATAATAATTTAATGATTAAACTTCAACTTTTAATTTGCTGGCAAAGTCTGAAGACACTGCAGGTATGGCAGGATGAATTGCATTTAAACAGGAATTAAAGTAATTTATTACATCTACTCAAATGTGTGTAATTAAGTATTTTATATGTGTGTGTGTGTGTGTGTGTTTAATTGCTCTTTGAGCTACTTTTGCCTGAACCTAACACTGTAAGTGAAACAAGGCATTTCTTGAGTTGCTGTAAATTATGATAAACATATTTACTGTTTCTCATTCCAGAAAACAACAACAACAAACAACAACATCCTTCATGATGGACAGACATCATGGACACCACAGCAGCAGCTGTCTTCACTGAAACATCCTGAACATGATCGTCACTGACATGAGGCCTCTGTCCATGGTTGAAG